CTGTTCAACTCTAGATTACGACTCTTTCCTGGCAAGCTCCGTTCAAGGTGGACAGGTCCCTTTACAGTTATTAAAGTTTTACAATCAGGAGCAGTCGAGATCCAGAACCAGTCATGTAGCACATTCATTGTAAACGGGCAGAGATTATGTTGGAGGAATAACATAGATGCCTTTTTCAATGTTTATTTTTTTGAGTTATTTTACTTTTCATGTTTTGCTTTGATAGTTTAACACTTGGGTTGGGATCATTTACTTGTTTTATTCTGCATGTTGTTATGTTACCTAAACTAATATTTCATTGAGTTAAAATAATATCTATTTTGATGAGACAATGAAGTTTTGTTTTTTTTAATTGTTTAATCCCTGTTGCTATGAAGTGACATTTTGAGGAAGATGTTTAATTGAGAAAAAATGCGACACCCTTTTTGAAAAATATACTCTAATTGCTTTATATGTGTCTATTTTAGATGATAGACGTTCTACTCCAGGCTCATGTGTCTATTTTGGCCCAAATTTGGTTGCTTGGAGCTCAAAGAAACAACCTCTGATGGCAATGTCAAGTGCTAAGGCAGAATATTGTGGCCTGGTACACACTATCTCTAAACTACTTTGGATGGAGTCTCTAATCACTGAACTCAATTTTCCTTTTCTTTCTCCCACAGTGCTTTATGACAACTCGGCTGAAACTCTATTATCATATAATCCAGTTCTTCATGCACAAACAAAACATTGATTTAGATATCCACTTTATTAGGAAGCGAGTATTTATCAATAAAATGCTTGTCAAACATGTCCCGCTCAGGCACAAATTTAGACACACTTACAAAACCACTAAACACATTTGCATTTAAATATATGTGTATCAAACTTAAAGTAACTTGTTCAAATCTACCTTCTAGGAGAGTAATAAAAATATAGAATAAATAGGTTAGTTTCGAGTTACAAGTGTAATATGATATATAACTAACTCAATAGTGTAACCAATCACTCTATAATAAGTAAGTTACCACTTGTACAATTGATAAAAAAAATGAAATAATACACACTAAATTTCTACGGATCTTTCGGACAATTACCCCATTTGGTTCAAAAGTAACTCCCAAAATTGGGGACCAAAACCTTTTTACTTCTTTAATTGTTGGATTAAGCATGATGAGTTCCTGGATTTCATCGAGAAGAGTTGGTTGTTGGCAAACATTAGGGGAAAATCTATTTTTAATTTCAAGGAAAAATTAAGGGTGTTAAGAGGGTGCTTACGGAAGTGGAGCGTGGAGGTGTTTGGATTCATGAATCTTGAGGTGGATCATGCTATCAATGAGTTGAATGAGTTGGACTTGGAAGCGGCAGAATCGAGGCCTCTGAGCGTGAATTCTCTTGTTTTAAAGAGATATTTGGCCTCGGCTAGAGTTTGGGAAGAAGTTTGTTTCGAGGAGAGTGTCCTTCGGCAAAAGACGCGTGTTTCTTGGCTTATGGAAGGTGATTCCAATTCTAGGTTTTTTCATAACTCCATCAAACAATGAATAAGAAGGAACTTGATTTTAGGCATTAATACTACTAATGGTTGGATTGAGGAGGTGGAGTTGGTGAAAGAGGAAATTAGGATGCACTTTGAAAAGAGATTCTCTGATTCCATGTCTTCTAGACCTCTGTTGGATGTGGTAGCTTTTAAGACTTCGTCAGTTGAGGATGCTTCAGTTCTTGAACTTCCTTTATCGGAGGAGGAGGTGAGAGATGTCATTTGGAAGATCGACGATGATAAAAGACCGGGTCTGGATGGGTTTAATTTGGATTTTTACAAGACTTGTTTGACCTTTTGAAATAGGATGTGGTGGCTTTTGTGAATGAATTTCACTCCTTTGTTGTTTTACCAAAAGCGGTTACTGCTTCTTTTTTTTCCCTAATTCCAAAAGTTGATAATCCTTGCTCTTTGGATGATTATCGTCCAGTTTGTATCATTTCTAGTATGTATAGAATTTTGGCTAAGTTGTTTGCTTCAAGATTGAAGTTAGTGGTGGGTAAGCTTGTTTCGTCTTGTCAATCGGGTTTTATTCCTAATAGGAATATGTTGGACTGAGCTCTTGTGGTCAATGAGTTATTGGATTATGCTAAGAGGTTCAAGAAGAGTTGCATGTTGGTTAAGGTTGATTTCGAGAAGGCTTATGATTGTGTGTCTTGGGATTTTCTTATATATTTGTTGAGAAGGATGGGGTTTGGTGATAAATGGAGAAGTTGGATTGAAGCTCGCGTCTTTAATAGTTCCATGTCTATTCTTGTGAATGGTAGTCCAACTCGGGATTTCTCGGTTTCTAGAGGTCTTCGTCAAGGAGATCCGCTTTCTCCATTTCTTTTCTTATTGGTTGCGGAGGGCTTGGCGGGTATGCTGAAGTTGGCTTCTTCCTCGGGTGATTTCAAGGGTTTCTGTTTGAGCGATCAAACTCATTTGGAAATTCTTCAATTTGTAGATGATACTATTTTGATTGATGAAGGTTCTTGGAATAATATTTGGTCTTTTAAAGCAATTTTGCAGGGTTTTGAACTTGTTTTCAGGTTGCGTGTTTACTTGACCAAGAGTATGCTTCTTGGGGTTAATTTGGAGATGAATTTCACTCAAGCCGCTTCGTCTTTTCTTAATTGTGAGATTGGATCTTCCTCTTTCAATTTTCTTGACATTTCGGTGGGAATTAATCCGAGGAGAAGAAAGATGTGGTACCCTATTATGTCGAAGTTAAGAAGGTGACTTGGTGGGTGGCATAATAAGTATCTTTCAATTAGATGAAGGGTTGTTCTTTTGAATTCGATTTTTTCTAGTTTTCCTATTTTCTTCTTCTCCTTTTATAAGGCACCTAAGTCTATTATCAATGAAATTATCATGCTTCAAAGATCTTTTCTTTGGGGAGGTGATGAAGTGAAGAAGAAAACAAACTCGATTAGTTGGAACAAGGTTTGCCTTCCAAGGAAAGAAGGAGGGCTTGGGGTGAAGCACTATAGAAGTTTAATCTTGCTCTCCTTAGCAAATGGAAGTGGAAAATTCTTAACAAAGAGAATGAAGATAATGCTTTATGGACTAACTTTCTTTCTTGCAGGTACAGTGACATTAAAAGAGCAATGTTTGGCGTTCCATCTTTTCATTCTAGGAGCAAAGTTTCGTTGTGGTGGTGGGACCTTTGTTCGCTTGGTTGTGATGACTTGGCCCCTTTGAGTAATTGGTTTATTTCTTCCATTTCTTGTAAACTCGGATCGGGGTCCTTTTTGGATTTTTGGAGAGATAGTTGGTTGGGCACCTCTTCTCTTTCTTCTTTATTTCCAGATCTCTTTCTTTTGTCAGATCCCAATTTCTTGAAGGTGGCGGATATGGGTTGCTGGCAGGTAGATGTGTGGCATTGGTCAGTGATGTTGCGGCATGACCGGGAATCACATTCGAATAGCGCGCGGTTGCTAGAGCTGCAGCGTCTGATTCTGCCGATTCAGCCGAATCTTTCAATCATTGATTGTTTTGTTTAGTAGCGGCATCATAGTGGTTTTTCTGTTCGCAATGCTTATGACGCTTTATCGGTGGGAGATTCGTTTAGGCCGGTATTGGATATTGCAATCCGGACGGCGTTGTCTCCTTTTTCGAATTCCAAGGTCCATAGTAAAATTCTTATTTTTTGGTGGAGATTGTTGTGGAATAAGCTTCCAACGAAAAGGGAATTGACGAACCGTGGTATTCTTTCGAGGCCTCATTCTTTGTTTTGCCCTTTATGTTTCAAATGTGAAGAAGACCTGGATCACTTATTATTTCGCTGTAAAATTTCAAAGTTGTCGTGGAGTTTGGTTTGTAATTGGCTTCGTTTGGATGACGTTCCATTGGATTGTTCCATTTTTGTCTGCATTTCTGTGATGGATTCTGCTTATAAGTCGGCTTTTTCTTTAGATTTGGAGTGGTTCTTTAGGCTGATTATTTGTTGGGTGATTTGAAAATGTAGGAATGACATTTTTTTAATGATTTGTTCTTGTCAAATTTTGATGGGGTGGGTGTCATTAAGACGCTCTCAAGGGAATGGTTTACTGTGTTTTTTAGAACAGGTAATAGCGTACTGAGAAAGGTTTGGAATGTTGACCTGAGGGAGTTTTTTAGGTGAATTTGTTTAGATATTTAGTTGAATTTTTCCGTGACTTTTATCTTTCTTTCTTTTACCCTTTTGTTTTTATGGATTAAGCACCTTTCATACTTTTTTCATAATTATAAAAAAATTAAAAACTTTTCTTTCATAATTCATTTTGCTTATAAAAAACAAAAACTTATAGAAAAGGAATATCTTTTTTCTGTCTAAAAGATGTTTTAAGAACATATGAGATAAAAGACACTTTCCAAGATTCTTAGTCCTAAATTTGTGCACAGAACACAAACAAAAAAAGACCCGCCCAGCCCAGCATATATATGTCACACCAGACAGAGGTAAATTCCCTATCATCATGTAACGAAAATTAAGTACATGGCCTAAAGTCCCTTTGTATCTTTATTAAAAAGAACAAATAATTATACACATTTATCCCTCTGACCACAGATATAATTTGGAAAACTAAAGTAGGTAGATAACAATATGCAAAAAGGTGAATAGAAACTTTATTATTTGTTGATAAAAGGTGAATAATATAGCCTTTATTGTTTGTTGATAAAAGGTGAATAATATAGCCTTTGAACTAGCATATATTCTTATCTCAGAATAAAAAAGCTTACACGTTTGGAATAATCTGATCAATATAAATATCAATATGCAACGTTGTTGTTGGTTCACAAATTTTCACGACACTACTAGTCGCCATTTTCTTTTATTTACATAAGCATCGATTTATAATGATTAAACAGAGCATTTTTGTTTTTGTTTTTTCTTTTGTTGTTGACATAATCAATCATTTTCTTTTTCTTTATGTAAACATTCATAAATAATGCTAGAAATATTCGATACCATATCCTTTTAATTTATCTTTACTTTATGGTACGATAATTCAATGTGTCATCACAGCATCCAGCCAGTGGCGAATCCATTCATACTTAAGGATGAAGCTCCAACGTTTGCATCATCAGAAGAACCCATCATATTGTATCTGCTTAATAATCAATAAAACTTTCACTATAAATCATATTATTAGGTATATTTATGAATAGTTGCACCTTACCCAATTTGCAAGTTGGAATTCACTCCCACAGGGTGAAAAAATCCCTCTGATTGAGGATGAAAGCGTGTGAAATGGATATTAGAGTCGTTATTTTCTTCCAACTGTTGCAAAATAGAGTTTTCATTAGAAACAAATTCACAGGCTAATATTTAAGCATATAGCTTTGTTGTTTTTTTAGAATTTTAAGATAAAAACAACAGATCTGAATTTAGTTTGGAAATAATTGTTACCTTACTTCTTAATGCATGATTTGTTTCAACAAGCACTGTTTCCTGCGTTGAATAAGCCAATGGCACATTAAAAAAAACAAGGTGGTAAAGATCAGAATTTTATAAAAAAAAACATACCCGGTTGTGAAGATCAGCTAGTTGATCAAGCATGAATTGAGTCTGAAAATTTTCAACATTTAAGAATTGATCAAATAATTGAAGAAAATAAAAGTTAAAAACTTATGTGAAAGGAAATTCTAAAGACATCATCATAGACACGTGTTATTTTTGAAGATAAACTATTGAAATAGTTTATATAGAGTGACACCTCTCGTCTTACTAATTAGTTTAGTAGAAATGAATTAGATTAAACTTTAATTTTAATATGGTATCAGAGTCTATCGATTGAGTCTTTGACAGTTCACCGTTTAAATCCACACACCAATAATATTTTGTTTTTGTTGATGGTTTTATTGAAGAACATTGCAAGTATTCTACATCCAAGAAGATCAACAGATTTCAACTTTGAAAATCACAAGCTAAACTCACCAACAATTTATACATTCTTGATCAAATAATTATATTATGGACTTTAATAAGTTTGTTCATAAAATTCTTTGTAATTCGGTTGTTTCCATTAATTTTACACTCTGACACTATAGATTAGGCCACTTTCTAATGATATATGAAACATTCTGTTTAGTGCACTCCCTTATGTATTTGATTAGTGTATTCCTTTATGTAATAAATCATTTATTGTCATTTTGCCAAACAAAATAAACTACCTTTTTAAGTTAAGTTCCATTAAAACAACTTGTGCATTTGATCTATATTCATTTTGTAATTATTGAGGATGACTATACTAAACACATCTATATTTTTCAAAGAAATCCAAATAAAAAAACAAGATATCTTGGACCACCAATTTTGTGTCTCCAATTAAAGCTCAATTTAACAAACAAGTTCATTGACAAGTATGGTTCTTAAGGTTTCATTTTCCCTAAAAGGTTATAGAAGAAGGTATTAGTTGGGTGTCTCATTAATGAAAAGAGATTTTTTTTTTTTTGGGGTTTTAACTCGATCAGAGACTAGCTGTTTGTCTCTTCTTGTATTAAGAAGTGTTGTGAAACGATGTCATTAATAACATAACAAAGTTATGAGATAAAGATTGAATTTTTTTTAACAAACATAAGAAATTCTATTAGATTTTACGAAAGAGAGAAGAAGAAAGAAAAAGAATAAGAATTGGTTAAAATTGTTTTACTATTCACTTTCTCAATAAGGTTCAAATATTACAAGTGAATACCAACAATTAACCTCTCTGAGTAATCTGAGAGAACTAGTCTATTTATAGACTACTAAGCTAACTTAGGTTACAAACTAATTTAACAATTGGGTTTACAAGCAAGACCCAATTCGACATGCTTTAAAAATAAAACATATTTCAATAGCATGCTTGAACAAGCTTTGACTACAACATGCACAACTCCTGTCGAACCATGAAACTACATTTGTTGACACCAGAGTTCTATCCAAATACCACGAATCTCCACCTTGGAACAAACTCTACACTAACAAGGGAACAAACTAGCTTTCATCATGTAGCTTTATTGAACTGTATCTAGTGGAAAAACTTGCTACTTGCCAATGTATTAGTGATCATATCAGCAACATTGTCATCAGCCGAAACCTTCAGCAGTTAGACTTTTTCGTGCTCGATTATCTCTCTAACAAAGTGCAACCTCACATTGATGGGCTTGGTTCGCTCATGATAAGCTGATTCTTTGACAGTTGTATTAAACTTTGACTATCATATTTAACAGTGATAACTCGAAATTGAAGTTTCAACTCCTTAGCAAAACCTTCAAGTCACAATGCTTCTTTCACAACTTCAGTGAGGGTAATATACTCCGCTTTAATGGTTGATAAGGCAACAACCATCTGAAGAGTTGTTTTCCCACTAATTTTCGCGTCAAACATAGTGAACACATATGGAGAAATATATTTTCTGGAATCCATACAACCTGCATAATCATAGTCGACAAATCCTTTGATTTCTACTTTACTATCATCACCACAGGCTCCACCATAAATCAGGACTCTGCTCAGAAACCAATTGATGTACCTTAGAATCCACTTTAATGCTTGTCAGTGCACATTCCCAGGATTGGCCATATACCTGCTTACAAGGATCACTTCATACGTTATGTATGACCTTGTACATACCGTAGCATACATCAACGAACCTACTATACTAGCATATGGAATGCAATTCATATAGGCTCTTTCGACTTTAGTAATAGGACTTTGAGTCGTACTCATCTTATACTGAGGATTAGTCAGTGTTAGGACAAGTTTTGAATTCGACATACCAAACTTATCGAGAATCTTCTCCATGTATGTCTCCTAAGATAAGCATAATCTCGATAGCTTTCTATCTCTACGGATGTCAATCGCAAGAATTCTGGAGACATCTCCCAAATCCTTCGTGTCGAACTCCTTATCGAATTCAGCCTTTACCTTCATAACATCTTTGACATTGTTGCTTTCTATGAGGATGCCATCCACATAAAGCAACAAAATAACAAGTGAATTTTCAGGTCGAAATCTGAAGTAAACACAATGGTCGAACTGGCTCCTAGTGAAACCAATGTGTGTCATCAGCTTGTCGAATCTCCTATTCCATTATCGAGGAGATTGTTTCAGGTCATACAAAGACTTATTCAGCTTGCACACATAATCTTCCTTTCCCTTTTCTGCATACCTTTCAAGTTGTCTCATTAGGATTGTTTCATCTAGATCACCATACAGGAAGACAGTTTTCACATCCATCTGTTCAAGTTCTAGGTCAAACTTTATCATCATAGCTATCAACATTCTGATGGATCTATGCTTTAAAACAGGTGAGAACACATCATTGAAGTCGACACCTTCTTTTTGAGTGAGCCCCCTAGCAACCAACCTTGCCTTAAATCACTTCGACATCACTCATTCGATTCCTTCCTTTACCTTGAAAATCCACTTACAAGTGACTAACCTGACCCCTACAGGTTTCTTAATTAACTCCCAAGTGTTATTATCATGAAGAGATTTCATCTCATCATCCATGGCTTTCAGCCATTCAGTCTTGTCTCGATTCCTCATAACTTCCTTATAGTTTCTAGGTTCTTCACCAAGAACGTCATTTGCAGAGATTAAGGCGAATGTTGTGAGATCTGCATAACAAAGTCTATGAGGTGGCTTGATGACTCTTTTTTACCTTCTCTTTCCAACAGGCAGTCATTATCAATCTCCTCATCTTTGACAGTAGCTTCTGCTTCTTCTTCGACTTCATCTAGGTTATGCAATTCAGCATCACTATGCTCCGCCTCCACATGAATTTCTTCCTATCCCAACTCTTCTTTAGAGATCTTGGTATGCGACCAACGTCATCAAATTTCTTGAACGCTATCTCAACTTCATTAAAAACTACATCTCGACTTGTGATACACCTCATGTGACCTGGCTCTAGGCACCACAACTTATAAGCTTTGACTCTTTCAAGGTATTCAAGGAACATATATTTCAGAGCTCTAGGTTCGACCTTGTATTTCCTAATGTGAGAATAAGCTAAGCATCCAAACACTTTATGTATGTAGAGATTAGGTAGATGTTTCGACCATACTTCTTCAGGTGTCTTTATTCCTAAGGATGTCGAGGGACACCTATTTATCAGGTATGTTGCAGTCATAGTAGCTTCTGCCTAAAATATCCTCTTTAATCCTGCACTTATTAACATGCACCTCACCCTTTCCAGAATGGTTGGATTAAACCTTTCAGCCAAACCATTTTATTGGGGAGTAACTGCAGTAGTTATGTGCCTTGCAATACCAGACGCAACACAATATCTCTCGAAAGCCTCATTGTAAAATTCAAGACTATTTTCGATCTTCAACCTCTTGACCTTCCTGTTAGTTTGTTTTTCGACTAGAGTCTTCCAACTTTTGAAATTTTCAAAAGTTTCATCCTTGGTCTTCTGGATGAATACCCATAACTTTATAAAGTATTCATTAACTATGGATAGAAAATACTTTACACCTGCATGTGAAGGATTCCTTACAGGTCCCCAAAGATCAACATGAATGTAATTAAGGGATCCATGTGTTTTTTCTAACTTTGTTAAACTTCATTCTACAAGATTTACCAAATACACAAGGTTCACAAAACTCCAGTTTTTCGACCTTGTCACTACACAACAGATTTTGTTTTGACAATTTAATCAAGCCTCTTTCTATGCCATGGTCAAGTCTCTTGTGCCATAGCTCAGTCTTCGACACAGGTTTCGTGGATGCCATATCTACTAAACCACGTACAACCTCAGTCTCAAGGGTATACAAGCCTTGTTTCTTTACACCTCTCAAGTTTTCCTTTGAACCCTGCATTACCTTTAAGATACTTTTCTTGCCTTTGAAAACATATACATTCTTGTCGAGTTCACCAAGAGAAATCAAATTCCTCTTAAGATCAGATACATATCTAACATCTGTTAATAGCCTTATTGAGTCATCATGGAGCTTGAATCTCACGGATCCAAGTAGCACCGATCCACCATCTTGATCACATAATTCCTCAAACACATCTTTGTTTGAAGTCATGTGCCAAGTATATCATGAATACATAATCCACTCCTTACTATAGTCGCTGCTTGAAACCACCAGGACATCAGATGATTCATAACCATCTTACATAATGGTTGTATTACCATTATCTTTTCCACCATGATTGTTCAGTCGATCAAGGCATAATTTTCTTATATGACCCTCCTTCTTACAATGATAACACTTAATAATATGAGCATTACCACCATAATAATTCTATAGAACTTTCCCATTCTTCTTCTCAAACCTATAATCTTTCTTCAAGAAGTCCCCCTTAACGGACAAACCTTAACAAACTATTGATGGCTTGTGCTCCTTTCATTTGTTCAAATCCTTAGAGTACAAAGTTGATTGAATATCTTTAAAGGTCAATGACTCTCTTCCATACAAGAGAGTTTTTTTGAAGTGAGCATGGGATTTAGGTAAAAAGCACAACAGCAACAATGCTTGATCTTCATCATCAATCTTGACCTCAATATTCTCAAGATCAAGAATCAACTTGTTAAACATATCCAGATGCTCAAGCAAGGCTTTATCTTCACT